TCTTCTTACTTGTTTCTCAACTGCTTGTATGATTTTATAATTAATGATAGCAATGACCTAGAATTAGGATATATATTAATGGAAAAATGATTATTATCGGAGCATAGGGGAAAAGCGTAATTTGGATATAACATTTGAAGACGATGTATCTGTAGAAGCTGCTGCTATTCAATGAACTGATTAATACGATTGAGAAAAGAATAAGCGGATTGAAAATGCTTTCATCAGGACGGTATTGTTTCTAACTTGTGACTCTGAAAAATCTATTCCTGCATGTTCGAGATGATTTATTTATCTGAGAAATTAACCTTTGTAATACTAAGCTTTATTGAGCACACACAATTTAACATAACAATGTTATCTATGTAAACCTTGTACGACAAACATATCACTTTACCAAATTTTATCAAAATATCTCAAAAATTGCCAGCCGTAGCTTGAACACATATTACATGGAAAGACGGACAGACTGGCTTAGTTCAATTCAGAAAATTCTTTTGAATCGATCAGTACAATAAAAGGTGTGTTTGCCTTAAGTTCTTCCACGTGCTGCATACGTTCGCATAAACTTAATATACCCTGTACCGAAAGTGATTTAGCTTATAAAACTTTGTTAGCAAATTAGAAACTATATAAAGTTAGTTTTGCTGAATATGCGCCTGAATGACCGAACAGGCAAAGGATATCGACTAACAAGTTAAATGTAATAGAATTTTATAAATTCTTTTAATTTCAGCAAGTCATGGAATTTAATTGAAGAAGGGAAAAAAAGAAAACGGTTACTCCGATCTCTAAATCAACAGTTAGATGAAATCGAAAGTAAACATTTAAGTCCATATACATAAGTGCTTTTCTTTTCGCATTTAAACCTTCCACAACGCCATCTCTGGGATAAGCGAATAAATATGAGCTTTCCGAATGGCAACTGTTGCCAGGGTTACCGTTTTTTGTGTCGGTAATATTTGCGATTTTTTTCCTATAGAATTGTGTAGCTGTGTAAAGCATTGTTAACAATTATATTAAATTTATTAAATTAATAATAAAATCATTATATTACTATTGTTTTTTTTCTTTCTTCTTCTTCTTCTTTTTAATTTATACGCAGACTTTAAAGTGCATAACTTTGTTTGTTAATCAACTTTTGTTTTGTAGAAGATTTGAAAACTTCAGCTGTGAATAAAATCAATATCAACATAAATCGTGTAG